GCTGTGCATTCCTCTTGCGTGTCCACTGTTGCTGATAGTACCCCAAATCCCAGCCTCTCTTCTGTTGCAAGCGCCTTAGTTCACTCTGAACTAAATCAATTTGCTTGGATGCCTTTGTCTGTCAAGCAAGTAAAAACTTCACTGGAATAGTAGAACAAAGTCAGCAATGAGATTTCGCGTGAATAAGGTTGGGCCTCACCAGTTTGAGCTCGTCCTTTTTCATTTATATGCATAGCCATAAAATTCAAAGCATTAAGCCGGTGTTGCTTGGTGGAATATCTTAAGATGCAAACTAGAACGGCCAGAAGACTCCATATCCTTTCCAACCCTTCCCCATCCGACAGGCCCCATGCTTCATTTAGTCGAGGATTATACTCAAGTTGGCAGGACCATTCGTGCACGTATGAATGGAATAAACTAGTGGCAAACATCAGTCTATCTTGATCACGTTCTTCTACAAATTGGTTGCGCTGAAACAAAGGTATCATCAATGAAACCTGCTGACAAGAAAATGACAAGAACTGCCTGATGAGAACTGCCTTAGCTCACCCTCTCAATCCCCTTTTTGATGTTACATCCAATATCATACAGGATTGCTATCTTTTTGGCTCTTGCTTCATCTGTATTTCGACTCTGAAGACCTTTTGTTGCTTTGAGAATCCAATCAATAAGTGTGAGAGGATATATGCACCTATAGTGTATATATAATTTAATTAATCAGCTCAATTCCATGGATGGGCCGGCTTTAAATACTCACTTTTCCCCACTTTGAACAATATTAATAAACCTTAATATTTGATCATGCCTACACGCCATTCCTGCAAGGCCCGTGTCATCATTACCCTTCCAATCTTTCTTTCCTCATACATCATTTTCAGCCGTATGTTGGGCTGTGCAAGGGTCCTAGATATTTGATGTGGTATCAACAATTATATATGGAGTAATATATATGATAAATATGCGATGACTTGCCACCATCTCCTTTGATGAACCCTTCCTAGGATTGGAGTCAACACTTTCACGCATACTTTCCAGCTGCTCTGGAGGAATGAACAGGCTGGGAGTGATAGGTGGGGTCCGCTCCACACTGGCCGCCAGGTGTCGCCGCTGCTGGAAATTACAATCCATACATACAACTATGTCCGGCTCCCCATTAGGCAATTTTTGCATACCCGGCCCGAAACACGCAGGGCAAATGCATGCTAGTTGATCAACTTCATTCATTTGCAAGGCCGCGGTGGTGTGTTGGTCTTCCATGGTTAGCATGGCTCGATAGGCATCAACAGCCTGGGATAGTTGGCGGTTCCATTGGGTAATCTATTTAATCATATCAATAGTAACAGTTAGTCCTGAGGTAATACATATGGATAGTGTATACACTGATGTATAGCGAGTATACACACATGTGTATAGTGTATACACAGTATACACTTGTGTGTATACTCACTATACATCAGTGTATACGTATATCAGCTCATACATAAAAATACTGTTACCTGTTGATGTTGGGTCTCGATGAGGCTGGGGAAGGCGGGGTCCAAAAGCTCATTCCAAGCATCGCGAAAAGATGCATAGCGCAGAATGCACCATTTCCAAAGTGTGTGAAAGGTCCGCACTAGTCAAAGGGATATTGCAGTCTGTGGCCTCTGGGCGGAACCGCCGATGTATCCTGCTAATATCAACCGTACTTGATCATTGGGTGTGCATCTACAAAAATCCAACTCTATTTGACTTCGACCTGGAAAGAATCACATTAGGTCATGCAATAGGAACATTAGAATAGTGGATCTTTACTGACTAAGAGTGTCTAAAACATCGAGTTTCCTACGTTGTACTGGACAGTTGCAGGCAGGTTTCCAATCATGCAGGGCCAGATCTGGGTCTGCCCAGGCTTTTGTCTTAACCCTACACGTAATGAAAACTGGAAACATAGAAGAGTGCTTCATTGCCCACTGCTGCTCTTCCCTCTGACGTCTGCCTTCTTCAAAGCCCTGGTTTTGATGATTTGCATACTGCTCCAGTTCAGGGTCCAGATCTCGGGGAATAAACATGTCAATATCGTTATTTGGTGGAGAAGGCGGACCACCATCTGGCAATGGTTGAAGGGCCGGGTTTTCACCACGTTCAAGGTTAAGGTTGGTGGTGGCTTCTGCGCGAGCCCGACTTATTCGTTTCATTTGCAAAAGACAAGCGTCCAGACCGGTGATGGCTCGGCAATTAAGGTTCTCTGTGCGTGGCTTTGACCTTTTCCTAATTTTCGCCATGATCACGTGTGAATTTGAAGAAGAAGGTAACTATGATTTGGAGGTGTGGTTCATTGAAGTGGTGGTTGGTAATGGAGGTGTGGGTCGTTGAAGTGAAGTGGTGGTTGGTAATGAAGCTGTAACCAAAGCTTGATCAGTGTGGATGCGTGTGACCTGTGATACCCAGTTGTGACACTTCAAATCACATGTTATTCAAAATTTGGTATGTATGACACATGTGTTACATACCAAATTCACACATACATATCCAATTACTTATGTGCGTACTAAGATATGTACACTTGTATGTATTTCCCACCTGGTATTTCTGGTGTACATAGGATAACTTATGTAACACACTTTGTTTGAATGATTGCTGAAAAATGAATTGTGAATAGATTGGAATGTTAGCAGCAAAAGCTATTGCACAAAAATCTGATGAGAACACGTATATGTGGTTATAGTCCGGATAACATGTTAAAATCACGTATAAAGGTTTGCTGTCCGGATCCCATGTTATTCCTACCTGTGAGGATACAGGGCTGTGTTGTCTAGGGGTAGACCAGAATGCCGCAGTCAGAATCAGGTTTGAATGTTTCCTGAAGAAGTTATTGCAGAAATACCTGATAAAATCACGTATATGTGGGTTTGAGGTCCGGATTACAAGTGATTCCAACCTGTGAGTTACATGTTTTGCAAATTGGTGTGTTGCTGTGTTGTCTAGGGGTAAACCAGTGTGTCTGGAATGAATGGCGCATTCAGAATCAGTTTTGAATGTTTCCTGAAAAAGTTATTGCAGAAATACCTGATAAAATCACGTATATGGGTCTGAGGTCCGGATTACAAGTGATTCCAACCTGTGAGTTACATGTTTGGCAAATTGGTGTGTTGCTGTGTTGTCTAGGGGTAAACCAGTGTTTCTGGAATGAATGCCGCATTCAGAATCAGGTTTGAATGTTTCCTGAAAAAGTTATTGCAGAAAAACATGATAAAATCACGTATATGGGTTTGAGGTCCGGATTACAAGTGATTCCAACCTGTGAGTTACATGTTTGGCAAATTGGTGTGTGGCTGTGTTGTCTAGGGGTAAACCAGTGTGTCTGGAATGAATGCAGCAGTCAGAATCAGGTTTGAATGTTTCCTGAAAAAGTTATTGCAGAAAAACATGATAAAATCACGTATATGGGTTTGAGGTCCGGATTACAAGTGATTCCAACCTGTGAGTTACATGTTTTGCAAATTGGTGTGTTGCTGTGTTGTCTAGGGGTAAACCAGTGTGTCTGGAATGTATGCAGCAGTCAGAATCAGGTTTGAATGTTTCCTGAAAAAGTTATTGCAGAAAAACATGATAAAATCACGTATATGGGTTTGAGGTCCGGATTACAAGTGATTCCAACCTGTGAGTTACTTGTTTGGCAAATTGGTGTGTGGCTGTGTTGTCTAGGGGGAAACCAGTGTGTCTGGAATGAATGCCGCAGTCAGAATCAGGTTTGAATGTTTCCTGAAAAAGGTATTGCAGAAAAACATGATAAAATCACGTAGATGGGTTTGAGGTCCGGATTGCAAGTGATTCCAACCTGTGAGTTTACAGGGAGGCAAATAGGTGTGTTGCTGTGGTGTCTAGGGGTAAACCAGTCTGTCTGAATGTTTTTCAGCTTTCAGATACCGGTTTGAATGTTTACTGAAAAAGTTATTGCAGAAATACCTCATAAATTCATGTATATGAGGTTACAGTCTGGATTACAAGTGAATCCAACCTGTGAGTTTACAGGATGCCAAATTGGTGTGTTGCTGTGTTGTCTAAGGGGAAACCAGTGTGTCTGGAATGAATTCTGCAGTCAGAATCAGGTTTGAATGTTTCCTGAAGAAGTCATTGCAGAAAAACCTGATAAAATCACGTATATGGGTCTGAAGTCTGGATAACATGTGATTTTAACCTGTGAGTTTACAGGAAGGCAAATAGGTGTGTGGCTGTGTTGGCTAGGGGTAAACCAGTCTGTCTGAATGGTTTTCAGCTTTCAGATACCGGTTTGAATGTTTACTGAAAAATTTATTGCAGAAATACCTCATAAATTCATGTATATGAGGTTACAGTCTGGATTACAAGTGAATGCTACCTGTAAGTTCCCACCTAGGGATAATGGTTTATCCATTGTTGTTCCAGGATAAGCACAAGGATCAAGTAGAGTGGCTCAAGTGACCTTAACCTTGTTATATAAAGTAATTGGCAATCACGCTTATGAAAATTCTGTGTTTACTTTCCGGATTTCAAGTGATTTCAACTTTTTGGTTCACCGTTGGTTCCAATTGGGCATTGTTGAATTGACTAACACTGTGAGTCTCAAGTGATTGAAGCATACATCATAAGTGATCAGTGGGTTCACTGATGATGAAACCACTGGGTCAAACCGTGTCTGAAATCCAATTTTTTTCAATATGCAACTGAGTGAATATACTGAAATATTCAAGAAGTCAAAATATTCATAACATCTTATTTACAAAAAGGCGCATTTAAAACAAACAAATGAAAAGTAACAAACAAGATCTTTACTTAAAGGCGCCTTTAAAACCAACAAATGGAAAGTCACAAACAATTCATTTACAAAGAGGCACATTTGAAACAAACAAACGAAAAGTCACCATTTTTTCTTTGGTGAAGAAAAAAGGCTAACAATTTCTTTGGTGAAAATAAAGGCTAACAATAAATTGATAATGTAGGACAAGGATTGATATCAAAAATTTACAAAGTGGAGACATTCATGTTTTTTTGGGGGCTTTGAAGAGTGCTGCCACCTTAGCTTCCCTTTTCAATTTAGCCCTCTCTGCACAAAGTGCTGCATTAGCAATATTTCTAGCATGTTTGAAACTAGTCTCCGCTTCATAACTTTTCACCTTCCTCTTTCTATAGTCTTCCCACTGTGCTGGAGTCATATCATCTTTTGACTTTTCAACCAGCCTGATACGTTCGACAAGTGTTTGTGCTACCTGTGCAGAAGAACCAAATCTTGTGATAGCGCACTTTTTAGGACATATTTCATCGCCTTCTTCATCAAAACATAAGGATTCGGCAGTATAATGAGACATCTAAGAGGCAGAGAGCATGTCCATCAACATCAAAAATATATGAGATAGATGAAAAACACATACCGTGGTATCCCAAATACTTTCATAAATACCATCACATCCATCATAGTCCACAATTATATCAAAGTCCCTCATGATAAACATGGATCCCACGATAGTGCCCTTATTTGAAGGGCCATTAGCTTCATGTAGCTCACCAGTTACTCGATCAATGAGGCAGTTGAAACCAAAAGCATAGCGGGTATGATCGAAATCTGTGTGTGGTTCATTGAAGAAGCCTTCACATGTTACGACCAAGTTGGAAGCAAAAACTCTTCCATTGGGAGTACCCTCCCATGCCAAGTCATCAAAGCCGGGGACATTGGTGTCCATACCGATCTGAAGATTCGAAATGAAGATCATGAAGGATAATGAAGCAAACCTTTCGGCCCAGAAATCTCGAATGCGATGGAAGGTGGCCATGAGGGCTATATCATCATCAATCCGAGCTCCATTGCTAGAAGTTGAAGCATTAAGAGAATAGGGTCCTGGAACAAAGATGTTAATCTACGTCAAGCACGGAAAAGGAAAAAAAACTGACCCGCAGAATAACCAGGATCTGAACCGCCTCTCCAACCTAAATGGCCCATCCACCCCCAAAAGACTCCTTCATCCTTGAGGTTCTGAACAGCACCGTTTGTCTCACATCGATTGCGGGCTCGAGCTGCTTTGTACGTTGAAGAGATGCAGTTTTGGAATGCTTCCTTGAGTTCGGGAGCCATGTCTTTGAACTTTGTACATCTAACTATGAGAACTACTGATAAATTGTCAGCATTGATAACTACGACTGTTCCTTGATTAATGTAAATTGGTTCCCTTTCAATGATTGGGAATTGATTTGTTGAAGGCCATCTGAATATGAAAACTGTGTCAGGTGGCAGTCCGAGTTCGAGAGTAAGTCTAGATTTGAGCTCGGTGCGTTTACGATGTCTGCGTGGATAAAGGCGTCCGAGACTCTCCTGATAGTAAGTCTTCCACCGTTCTTGCCGCCTTTTCAATGCAGAGGGTGAGGTTTTGGACTTGAAGTTTTGTTTGGGAATACCATTCTTGGTGGCTCGTCGTCGTCGGGCTTGGCGTGACATGATGAATTGACCACAATTCCAAAATAGAAACAGCGAGCCGTATGACTAGTCGGATCGTAGCCGGAGGCCAACAACACTCCAATCAAACAACCACGTCTGAATCTAATTGGGAAAGATTAAGGAAAGATTAAGCGAAGGTGCGTTTCAAAACTAGAGGCTTGATTGTTTGATAATGACCCAAAGAAAAGGTTCCAAGATGACGATTTCGGGAAGTTGATACCTGAAAAAATTGATAGTAGATAAAGTAAGTCAGCTCAAAATCACAATTATCGTTCTTTGATTGACATACGAGTCTGATGAGATACTTTAATTCATTGGTGGATTGTGTGAGAAAAGAGTGCAGGTGGTTGACTGTGATGTGATGGGAGAAGCGAAGTGATCAGGTGCGAAGTGAACGGTGAGGTGTGGGAAGAGCTGTATGCGGAGTGTGTGTTGGCCCCGGTACAATCGTAAACCTAAGTGGTTGTCACCAGGTTAGGTTGCACCAGCTGTAACCGGCAAGATTGTACCGGTACCACATGAGGTGGCCCGTTTCAATTTTGGATGGAAACCTAACTGGTGACAACCACTTAGGTTTATGTGGCATCTGAACTACACTGGGGTATACACATCACTAAACACATACACATCACTAAACACCGGGGTTTAGTGATGTGTATACCCCATTGTAGTTCAGAAGTGACATAAACCTGGTGACACACCAATGTTTAGTGTATACACATCACTACCCACCTCAATTCTTGTGTCATCAGTGGTTACTGATGTGTGTACACTAGACACAAGTGTTTCATTACATACTTAACTGTTGTACAGCACAGTGTGTAATGTGTGTATATTGAGTTGGAACCGGTGGTTAGCGTGTACACACCGGTGGTTAGCGTGTACACACCGGTGGTTAGCGTGTACACACCGGTGGTTAGCGTGTACACACCGATGGTTAGCCTGTACACACCGGTGGTTAGCGTGTACACACCGATGGTTAGCCTGTACACACCGGTGGTTAGTGTGTACACACCGGTGGTTAGCGTGTACACACAGGTGGGTAGTGTGTACACACTGGTGGGTAGTGTGTACACACCGGTGGGTAGTGTGTACACACTGGTGGGTAGTGTGTACACACTGGTGGGTAGCGTGTAATCTGGCATTCTTAATCTAGCTGATGTAGTACATTGAATATTTTCATTTTAATCAAACTAATCAGGAAAGGAATCTCCTTCAAACAAGGTAATCCAATTTCCTCTTCAAGAAGATTTAAAAAGTTAGTACAAATTTGAAAAAAAAAAAAAAATTGTTTCATAATTAATCATCAGGTTCTGGTTGGTTTTTATTGACCCTTCTACGCCACTCTCGGAAAATCCTAGTGTTTTGTGTAAACCGGTCCTCCCAGCCAATTGCCTTGTCAAACCTTGTTTCAAACCATTCCTGAGACACACAGGGGATGGGGAGGGTGGGAGAGAAATCCATTGAGAGAGAAATACAATGAGACCTTTGAATCATACCAATGAAAAGAGGCTCTACATCTTGGGGTGGAGCGAAAGAAGGCGGGAAAGTAGTACTATTGGGTACCATGTCGGAATATAAGATGACCGGCCTGTTATAAGTGTTAGCTACTATACATAATCCACCGGGGAGCGGATACCAAAGCTCTTTTTTGGCTGTGAGACCCTCCCACTCCAGAATCTCAAGCATCTTCTTGACACCATAGGTTGGCGAAGATATGTGTTCGAAGTTCTCGTTGTACCAATCGGATTTCTCCTTGAAATGTAGGAGCATTTCACTCCGTACTGCTGGTGCTTCTGATACATGTTGGCCAAGAGATACTGCAACAGAAGCAAACAGGCATAAACCACTAGGAGGAACGTTTGCTGCATGCCGGATAAAGGGATATAGCTTTGGTGGCAGGCATTTGAGAAATTTCCAAGTCTGGAAAGCCCAATCTCAGCATCTTACGCTTTTGAACTGCAATATAAAAGTAGGTATGTAGAAAAAAGGAAAACATACCTGGAGGATGGGGTGGTTTGAGATTTTTGAAGGAGGTCTTTCCTTTTTGGGTTTTTTTACCGAGCCTGACGTCCCTGAGACAATCTAAACGAAAATCAGGTATAATCTTGAATAACACGGAGAGCACATCACTAACCTGTATATCCCCACGGGTCCTCTTTCTTTTTGGTTCATTCTAAGACGATGAAGTGATTAGATCAGTAAAGGTTCATATACAAAATGAAATCGGAAATACATTAGAATCTTACATCTTCAGCTTTTGGATGTGTCCTTGAAGATTTTCGAGTGATACATGGGCTAATCTCAACACTCTCTGGACGACGTAGGGATTGATCTGTAGGCTGACTTTATTTAGGTACCTGAGGATTTTTGATGATTTTGGTGCAAGGTGAAGGAAGCTGGGAACCCGAACTGGAAGCGGCAGCATGCTTTAGCTGGCTCATGACGAGATTGGATGATTCGTCCGCAGAAAGATTGGATAAAGGTGAAGAGTGGCGAGATGAGTGGGCGTCTGATTGCTTTTCTTTCCCCTTCTACATAAATAAAGACCAGTTGTAGTTAGCACAAGCATTTGAATAAGAAGTTGAATTACACTTACAACAGTTTCTTTTGGAGTTGAGTGTACCTCTGATTGCTTTTCTTTCGCCTTCTACATAAATAAAAACAAGTCTTCGTTAGCATGTTCATTTGAATAAGAAGTGAAATTATACTTACAACTGTTTCTTCTTGATTGGGAGCTTTCTTGGTTGAAGGTGAACACTCATCTTCAGCCAAGTTTTCAATTACTTTAATTGACTTTGAAGAACCTTCCACGGTAAGATTATCTGACGGGTTCAGATCCAAATCCATCTGATTTTCATGTTCATTTTCTTTCTCTTGATCCAAATCCATCTGATTTTCATGTTCATTTTCTTTCTCTTGATGGATCACATTTCTTCTAATTTGAGGCGTGGAATGATCAATTATACTTGAAGTAGGGTTGGCTGTAAGTGCTTCGGCCAGCTGACACTCCGAAAGAAATCGAGTCAAGAGACAAGTTTGAGAATGAGCTGGTAAAGTTTGCATTCGTGTGAAGAGAGTTGTGTAAAGGTGGGAGATATAAGGGTTTGAATTGTTTGTTTGAGATGAGGATGTGATCAGGAGTGATTGATTCGAGTTAGAGGGTTGGGAGGAAATTGAAAGTGATTGTATGTTAGGAATCGAGGTATTGGCTTGAGGCAGTAGCTGAGAAGGACCGGATTGAGGTGGTGTTGTAGCAGGCGTAATCCGGCGACGTGAGTATGCTTCTATTGGAATCCGCTCCACAGATGGTGGGTGATCATGAGTAGGATTGCCTACTTCAACTACGAATTGATGAGTTTTTTGGTCACGTCGTGCTGTTGTTTCAAAAGGGCAGGTTGGGATGATGGGTAGTGGGGTTGTATTCAATTTGATGGCATCGGCTAGCATCTTCTTCTGAGCTCGAGTGGGGCCCAGATAACACTTGAAAGAGGTGAAGGTGGGGCGTTTATCGCATGTTGTAACTGCATAGTTGTTTTCGTGAGCATGTTGACGAAGGTATGCCAAAGCGGGTTCACGGTCTGGGAAAGTTCGTCCAACCTCTGGAACAGGTATGGTTGAGGTTTGAGGTTGTTCGGTGGCTGAACTGGTGGCGGTAGGATGAGACTGAGACATTAGAGCTGTTGAGGTTGATGTGAAGTGAGTATAAGGTATGAGATTCGATGTAGGTGGTTGGTGTGTTTCAAGAAAGTGGGTATACAGAGGTGTGTACCGTGTGATTAGTGTTTAACGTCGATGGTTGGTGTGTTTCAAGAAAGACGGGTATACTAAGGGGTGTAGGATGGTGGTTAGTGTTTAACATCAATCTGTTTGTGAATCGATATGAAAAAGTAAAAAAAACTCACCTGGTTCGATGAAATTTGAGGTAAATTGACTGAATAACTTTTCTGATTGAGGTCTTTGATCGTGTTGATTATAATTTTTTTAAAATCTTTGGAGATTGACTAGAATCAGTGTGTTTCTCTTGGGGAATATGTCGTGGGTAGTGGTTAGTACGGTGTGTATTGGGTTGAGGGGGTGGTGGTTAGTCGACTGAGTAAATCGAAAGTTGTGGTTGGGGTTTGGGATCGGGCGGTTGCTTGGTGAGACTGACATGTTAGGTTTGCTGCGCTGTACACAATATGTGTAAACACGCGTAGGAATGTACACATGGTTGACTTGTGTGTGTAGGTGAGTGGCGAGGGCTTACAGTGGTGTTTACACCAGTGTAAACGTAAACACAGGTGTTTACACCATGGGTGTTCACGATTACCATGATGTAAACATGTGTAATTGTGAACACACCGGTGTAAACGCCTGTGTTTACTTACACACCGGTGTAAACACCTGTGTAAACACCGGTGGGTAACCCTAAACACCGGTGTTTATGTGTACGTACACATAAATACGTTGTTATTTATGTGTACGTACACACAGGTGTACACACCGGTGTGTAGTCTTACGCACAGGTGTGTACATCTGTGTATACTACACCAGTGTTTACGGAAACGTAAACACATGTGTAGACACCAGTGTTTACGTTGGTCTTTATGTGTACGTACACATAGATATGTTGGAATTTATGTGTACGTACACACCTGTGTGTAGTCTTACGCACGGGTGTACACACCCGTGTTTACGGGAGCGTAAACACCTGTGTGTACACCTCTGTCTTTGTGAGACTGGGAGGTTGGTTTGCTGGGGTGTACACGATATGTGTAAACAGCATGTAAACACAGTTAAGAAATGTCAATGTGGTCAACTTCTGCATGTAGGGCTTACAGCAGCGTAAAGACCAGTGTAAATGTAAACACAGGCATTTACCCTGCTGCCATTGGCTTGAGTTGGTGTAAACACTAGTGTAAGCGTAAACACACTGGGGTAACCGCCAGTGGCATCATAAACACTCACGTTTTACACGTACTAAATGCTGGACAACGTGTGATATGTGATTTTGGCGGTAGGAATGGGCTGTGAGCCATGAGCAGGGTAGGTTGAAGGGTTGTACAAGCCCTTGTGGCAATTTGGAAAGTCTTTACATACTATAGTTGAGGACTTGATGTGTTGTGAGGATGCCTTCAGAGGCATCTGAGGCATCTTCAACACATCTGGCGCGAAGACACGGGTACGTGCCGAGGATACGTTACACGTCTTCCTTGGTACAGGTCCGACTTTGTAGTGTACACGAGGTGCAAATCGCTCGGGGCCTGCCGGCGATTGCTTAACGTGGCTCAACAATTGCATCCTTGAAGGATTGACCTGGCGCACGATCGAGCAAATGTTGTGGTGTCCTGATTTGTTTCCTGTTCATCAGCTCCGCATCAACATTTTCCGAAGTTTTGCTCACTCACCTCTTTTTGCAGGACGACCTTAGCTCCCTATCGGTCATACCTGAGGCTTTCCGTGTCACTTAGGACAACTTTTGCAATGTTGTACGCAACGCTGCAAAAGCCATCCATCGGCTTGAACCTACCCTCATCACCCCCCTAAGTGACTTCTCAGCAGCTACCTCACTCCTAAAGATACCTTGCTTCACACTTCTCAGGTTTCATTGACATCTCCATTACCTCCATCGATGTTTTGATTACTTTGCTCACCAAGACGGCACATCAGTTTTTTAAGTTTGCCGTGCTAGCCTCAGCCGTTTGCCCCTGTACGCATGTATTGATTGTGGTGCCGTTGACAGTCACATGCCCAGAGGGGGAGGCAGCAATCCCGCTGGTGAGTTCCGTTTTTTTTCTGTCCAGCTTCCAAGCGATTCCCCACACAATTGAACTTGAATTTGATTGGTTTCCGCTTTATTCCAAAGATTGTTGGGGTAACGAATCGGACAACAGCCAACGCAACTGCAATATTAATAGTTGCTTTAATGGGGGTAGGTATTTTGATTGTGGAACACATCTTCAGATGGTAAAGTCTCATAAGAAAGATGACTAGTGTAAATTGAAACTGTAGACTTGGAAAGTTTGCACATCTAGTTCACATTTGTACGACTATACTCCAGGAAGCTATCCACTTCCTACTTATACTCTTAAAGTCCCTTTACCACCTGTGTAGCCTGTACGGATTGACATTTATACCCCTGGGAAATGACACTTTTCCGGCGACAGTCAAGCCGGGTCTTTGCAGCAGAGCTCTTCAGCGGCCCTGGAGCGTTTTTTTTTGCCTACAAACTTACAAGTTTAACACTTTTAAGCAAACATAGATATAGCATTGTGACCACCTATAGCTCTAGTTCACTTATGTGAATATTTCCTTACCTCCAAAAATCTCAACTCAAACACCAAGGTGGCCAGTGCAAAAAATTGCTCTGAGAGGACTCCAGAGCGCTCTGAGAGGACGTCAGAGCGCTCTGAGAGGACGTCAGAGCGACCTGAAAGACTTCACACATATCCTGCTGGAGACCCTACCTTGAACACTACCCTTGCTGAGCACCATTCAGCACTCTAAAAGCCTTCTCACACCAAACCGCTTTCAACGCAAGACCTCATCTCATCACCCTTCACCACCACCATCTCCAAGCACCGGTTCGAAGCATCAAACATTGAAACATAGGAACTTGTGATTCGCTTTGGGCCATCACCACACGTCACCAACTCATCACGCTTGAGCCGTCAGATTGCTCACTCCAACACCAAATTGTATTGTACTGAGCA